TCAGCAAAACTACTATATATTTCTGAGAATATGGAAAAGTAATATTTTTGCTGAAATGACGTACGTATTACAGTGGAAAGTGACAAAAGCAATGACTTTCGCTTTCTTTCGTTCAAAAGATGTTACCGTAATCGCTTTTCAAATGGTTTTCAGTTAAAAAACTGTTGTACAGTAGGCTCTCGCCAATAACGTCTAATAGGTGCCTGAAAAATGACGTTATTAGCAAAAACGTTATTTGTGTGACATTAAAATACATGTAAAAAGGGTTTATTGGTGCCACCGCCCCAGGAATTTCACCCATTTGTTCCCCTTTGAAGCCCTGCCTAACACTTTTTGTTAGCTGAAATAAAAAGATTTGTTATTCAATCATCAAATTAAAGAATTTGAGTAATATAACACTTACCCGTAGCTTGGGGGAGTTTTTGAGGTGCTTGGTGTGTTTATTGTTCCGTGGCTGGGCATGGAGGCTACTGCGTTGAACCCCCGTCCCCATACTGGCCTCTCGCACCCGGTTCACCCACTTTTGCTAACACTTCATCAAACCCCGCAAAGTCAAAATCTTCAGGCATTTCCCCAATGTCATCAATGTCTTCATCAACTTCAATCTCTCTCTGTTGGTCTTCCTCGGCTGGCCGGCTTTGTGAAAGAAAGCGAGTGACGGGTGACTGCTGCTGGGCATTCACTCGCTCGTTGTACTGCGCCTGGTATTTCCTTGAAATAGATTCTATAACTCCAATCCCGTGCTCCCTTTCACTTGATTCACTCTCAATGTCTTGGATCATCTCTTGAAGGCTGGTAAAGACACCCAATAAGAGTGACAGCTTCTGTATCGTCACTTTCCTCTGCTCGGTCTCCCATGCATCACTTTCTGCATCACCACTCTCACCACCTTCCTCATCCTCCAGGAGATCCTCGACGTCATTTGTGTTACCTTCTTGCATCATTTCTTCTAAATCTTCCTGAGTCACTTCTTGAAATCCTGGGGCTGGGATACTGCGGACAGTTTCCAACACTTGGTTCATTAGCTCTGCTGGCTGCTGTCTCTTCGTCTCGGCAGACTTGAGCTGTGGCAGGAGTGCCGACCAGGCATGCCTAATGGTTGCTTTCGTAGTATTTCCCCAGGCTTTTACAAAGAAATTGACTGCCTGGCAAATGTTATAATTTTTCCAGAAGGCAGTAACAGTCACTGTGGAGGTTGAAGGTACGCCAGGAGGAGGAGTGGTGGCGGAGGCTGTGAGTGAGGCAGGCGGAGTAACGGAGGCGGAGAGGGGTGGACCCTCCTCCTCCTCCTCGCTACTGCTCACAGTTTCAGCAATTTCCTTCACTTTTTCTTGCTTATCAGTTTCCTTCCTCATCTTGTCATGGACATATTTGTAGTACAGCAATTTTACATTCGCTATGATTTCTTGGTCTAGTGGCTGTATTTTGGAGGTTGCATTTGGTGGAAGAAACACAACCTCAACGCTAGGGTGACATCCAACTAGAAATCGTGCATGACTGGGGGCATTGTCTAGAAAGAGCACCACTTTGAAGGATACAGTACATTCTTCTTCCAGCAGTATTCTTTGGCATCCTTAACAAAACAATCATCAAACCACTTCTTTGATAACTCCGTGGACATGTAGCCTTTATTTGTCTTTTCCCAGTAGACATTCAGTTTGGACATATCACATCCCTTGTAAGCTCTTGGTCTTTTATATTTGTAAATCACCAGAGGCTTCATGAGGCAGTCACCTGAAGCATTACAGGTTAGGAGGACACTAAAGCGATCCTTTGCCATTTTCACACCTTTTGTCTGTTTTTCTTTCTTAGAGATAAATGTTGCTTTAGGGTATTTTTTCCAAAACAACCCGGTCTCATCACAGTTAAAAATCTGATCCAGGGTATAACCTCCCTGTTGAATGATTTGATTGGCAATTTCAGGGAAGGAATCTGCAGCCACTAACTCAGCAGACGAAGCCTCACCCTGTTACTTTGCATACTTTGTGTCACTTCTAATCTTAAACTTATGCAGCCACCCTACTGAGGCATTGAAAGGAGGGGGAGGCTTAATGTTTTTCTTTCGAGCTACAGCAGCGTACAATACCCTTGCTTGATCTCGTATCTGAGGGCAGCTAACACTTGCACTGTCTTTCATTCTACAAGCTAACCATTTCACAAGAAAATGCTCTGTTATCACTATCAACCTGTTTCTATCACTTTTATCTTTCATAGCTCGCCTTGCATTTCCATCACTACCGAAATATTTCTTAGCCTGCGCAATACTCTTCTTGGTCTCCTCTAAGTTCCTCTTAATATTTCGCACTGTAGACTCTGGACAGTTCAATTTCTTCGCAATATCAATGTTCCGTGCACCACTTTCAATGAGCTTAACAATCTGTTCTTTATCCGTGACCGAGTAGGCACGCTTCTTGTGGTTTTGTCTCTTAGCTTTGGGGTCTTTTTTCTCATTCACTTTAAAAATTCTCGGGCACTCAGGTGGTAAATCACTCCCTCCACCACCTCCCCCAACCACCATAGGCAAAAACACGGAAGCCATTGTTGATCACCGACCCTCGCAACTACTGGTTATAGAGGCAAAAATCTCACACGTGGGCGCAGTGCTGTATTCCACAGAGCGTGTGTGAGAGTGAGTGTGAGGCAGAGCGGACAACTACATCATCAACATGGCAGCCAAACAAACACTATCATTGATGTGCTCGGACGCTTCCCGCGAAATCTAATTTCCGTTATTCAAGAGAATCCAGACGTTATTATTGAAAATGGTTATCTATTGTAACTTACCGTGAATGTCAAAAATTTTATTGTGGAAGTCGTTATTAGCGAGATCCTACTGTATTACAATAATATTCTATCCTAATTCACTTGTGTTGCAACAGTTTTATTTAACTGAAAACCATTCGAAAAGCGATTACGGTAACATCTTTTGAACGAAAAAAAGCGAAAGTCATTGTTTTAGTCACGATTTTATCCCATTTCCACTGTAATACGTACGACATTTCAGCAAAAATATTACATTTTCGTGACTGTAGTATATCAAGCACAGTATGAATAGAATATCATTGTAATATAACAGTATTTTAACCAAAAACTATTAAAAAAATTAGTAACTTCTCTTGAACATCGGAAGGTTAGGTAAAGTCTTTTGTTTTCGTCATGTATTTTACCCTATTTTACATTAAAATACATCACTTTTCAGCAAAACTACTATTTATTTCTGAGAATATATTCATTCAGGTGCAGTTTAGGTAAAATATACATGTGATGTAACATTTCTGAGAATATGGAAATGTAATATTTTTGCTAAAATGACATACGTAATACAGTACGGTATCGTAGTTTTCTTTTGTTTCAAATTTAATTAACAAAGATTGATATTTCAAATGTAATGAACAAAAATTTATGTACAGTATCTATAAATAAACTATAAAAAATGAATATCATGTTTTACATCGTCCTGTGCATACCATACCATGCATTTGGCTACTTTGGGCTTGCTATGATGATGCAAGAGATCTGCCCTGGCAACTGTACCGACACTCACAGCTGGTGGTGCGTTGGTGTGTCGTTTCCATTGTTTACTGGTAGTTACTGGTAAATATTTTTCAACCTAACGAAACTATTACCCGTTTAGAGGTCGACCCCCAATTTTTTGCCAAATAATTTGGTCTTAAAAACTCGAACTACACACAGGTATATACGGTAAATAAGGACATGGGGGCCAGGGTTTTTTGGGGGCAGCAAAAGTACATGGATGTTTAACATTCACGGGTATCTCTGTTACCTATCCCCCGCGTATGTTAAGGGCCGACTGTATACTTACTATAATTGATGAATATTTGAGGTTCCCATTCACCTTCCCATGCTCTGATATGTCAACAAACACTGTGATAAAGTGTCTCTGTTCATTATTCTCAATCTTTGGCATGTCAGCCTGTATTCATTCCGATCGTGGAGCGTCGTTCATGTCAGGCGAACTGAAGCAGTTTTTGCCTCAGCGTGGAGTTGCTACTAGTCGGATGACCGCCTACAACCCCCAGGGTAATGAGCAAGTGGAGTGCTATAATGGTATCATCTGGAGAACAGTGACACTTGCGCTGAAATCCAGAAATCTACCTACTACTCATTGCGAAGATGTCCTCATGGATGCTCTCCACTGCATTCGATCGCTGCTGTGAACTGCCACTAATACCACTCTGCACGACCCGTTGTGGGTCGATGACCTGTGCCCGGGTGGGCTATTCCCCGAAAAAAAAAAAAGGTTAACGACTCAAAAGACTGTATGCGAGCGTCAGATTGCCAGATGGAGGGAAAACCAGTGTCTCTGTGCCATCTCGCGCCCAAAGATGTTGAATCAGGCGCAGAGACACCTCAAGACAAGGCCAGCAATGAACGTGTTCCTAAACAAAGTTTAGATGAACACCCAGTAGCTGAGAGGGACAAGCAGCTGGAAATGGCAGATCACAAGAGAAATCGTCAGCCAGATGCATCGCCAACTCGGCCCCCTCCCCATCACTCGTTGCGTTCCAGACATATGCCATCCTATCTGAGCGATTATGCACTGTAATTGTATGCTGATGGTTGTTTTAAAGGCAGGGGTGAATGATGTGTTATGCTTAGTTGGTTAAGTGCTCTAGATTACATTGTTTGAAGTTCTCTTATATTCCTTATATTATGTTTATTTGTGTTATCTGAAGCTTTATCATTCTAAATTTGAAATTCCTATTTATTCTGTTTATTACAGATCTATGGATACTGATGTTGCATTAAGTTGACTAAAGCCTCCCAGTGCTTACCTTCTTTTTTGTAACACTCCTAATTGTGTACAGTATTCATCTTTTAGTACATGTACTATCATTTGTTCACAATGAACAATGTTCAAATATAGTTTTGTCATCAATTTCAGCCATTTAGCAAGAATTCTGATATGAATGCTTCTCAAAGTAATCTTAAAAAAATCTAAAAAAATTATCAAACTCATAAACAAACAATCTTTTCACCTGTCTCTTGTCATTTACATCACACTTGTTGCCCAGGATCATCTTCTCCACATCTGCTGATGCATGTTCCTCTATGTTCCGTATCCTGCAAAAGATAAATTATGATGAAATCAAACTTATAAATTATGAGAAAGACCAAGAACATTTTGAAAACTAACATCTTGCAGAAAATTTAAGATACTCCCTTGTACAGTCATGTTTCAATTTTATATAATAAGGAACCTCCTATACAAAATTATTAATATTAATTATAATTTATCCTTTATTCAAATCCTTTGAGATACGAATGGGTTAAGTTAAAAAAATATTCGTTAAGTGAATTTTCGTATCTCGAATAGAAATACAGTATACAGGAATACCCGGTTATTGCAAGCGATGCATTCCTAAACATCATTACAATTAATGAAACTGCAAATATCTAGGCAATAATCCACATAAGATTTAATGTAATTGGGGGGATTGTGTCCCCAGCTAGCAGCACCACATATTTTTTGATACATACTCCTCATTATCCACTGCTATTAGGGACCAGGGTTGCGTGTTTACTGTAGTACCAGAAAATGTGAGAAATAAATAATAATTTTACTAAAAAATCAAATAAAATAAAAAATACCGCATTGCCAATTGGCAATACAGTCGGCCCTTAACATACGCAGGTTTAACATGCCGTATTTTTCGGCTTAAAAGACGCACTTTTTATGACAAAAATATACCTCGAAAATTACCATGCGTCTTCCAGGATGTTAGTCGATGAGTTGTAGCAGAGGTTTTTGAAATCAGCCCCTTACAAAGACTGTTACCTCATTACAGTACTTAACAATTACAAGTATTCTCTATACAGTACTATAAAACTATTGATTTAACTAATATTGTTGATATATTGGAAAAAATAAAAAAAAATAAACCCTTGCTGCTGTGTGGTGTGTGTACTAATGGCAGTGGTGCGGCAATGCCATCTATTGAGGAATTGCTAAAGGTTGTCTGCTGGTCTCAAATGCAGGAATGTTTGTTTCTTTATATGTAGGCTCTCATATTTGGACACCTATTTACAGTAGGCTCTCATATTTGGATACCCATTTAGACTTTAAAAACCCCACTTACATATGTGATCTCACTTTTTTTTTACCCTTAATTGTTAGCTTCTTCCATTGTTCCATTTATTAACATTAAATAACATTACTTAAAACAACCATATTAATTTTTCTACATTAATTTTAATACAGCTACAATGGAGGACTTATTTTCTTCAGTTTTATAATTATGTAGAACCAATCAGTCACTGGTTTTGCAAAAAAGAGTTGTTTTTTTACTTTTATTTTGTTTTTAAATAAAGATTTTTTGTTTTATGTAGACGTTGATATACATGTTTACAATTGCTTACCTTCTACTGTTGGAAAATATTTCCCGTCGTTGTCATACAGACAAAAACAAGAGAAAGAATGTAAACACTACAGCCCCTAAGATGTGGAGGTGACCAGGTGTATAAAATGAGTGCTGTATTAAAGATTTCACCTTCTTATACAGATTTTTTTTTAAATTGATGAAAATGACGACTGATAAGCATTTCTAAGTGATGTTATTCAAAGAGGTGTGTGTACTTGTGCCAAAAGGGCTGTATAATTATCAAGCAACGGTTTCACTGGTGGTTTCACTGGTTTCGGTAGTAGGGAGGTACAGGGTACTACTGCCTGGGAAGATATTGGTAGACCCTGCTGCCATATGGCATCACGAAAATTGTGACCAAGTCCCAGGTTGCTGATCTGACTTTCTGCCACATTTACACACAATTGCAGGGTCTCAATTGTTTCTCTTATTTTGACAACACAACATACATACAGGTAGTTCTGCTATAACGCGATAGTTGTGTTCTTGTAAAACATCGTGTTATAGAAATTCGCGTAATAGAAATAACAGAGCTTATGGAGAGAATAGGGTTAGGTGCAGATTACTCCAAATCGAAAAAAAAATTTGTAGTTAGCCTAACACAAAGGATAGCACAGTCTAAATAAATGTTACATTCATATCTAACAATGAAATCATACAGCAAATGTTACACTTTACCTTGAAAAAATATGAATATAACTTGATGGGGGAGAAGGTTGATGTTGAGGAGTCATAAAACATCAAGCTTTTCTTCAAGTGTTATAGCCTTTCTTTTACGATCACCACCGGAAATGCGATCACCAGAACGCTTCCCAGAGACATTCTTCTTTTCCATAGTCACAAAATTGGAGAAACAGTCATCAGAATTCACTGAGGACGCTTAAAAACTTCACACGTGTTTCAAACTGAACGTGCGGAGTAAACAGAGCGCGCGGGTCTAAAACGCTATGTATTTTGTTTTTCTCTCTTATTTAAAATTTTACAATTTACATATACTGTACAGGTATACTGTATACATAAATATTACATAAATTATTTCTGCAATTGTTCACAAACAAAACACATAAATCAATTGAACATGTGATGTCGAACGTGAACTGTAAACACTGCATAACCCCGCGCCAAGCCACAACACTGTACAGTACACTTTAAATGCTACGTATTTAGTTTTTCTCTTTTATTTAAATTTTTACAATCTACATACAGTATATATACAGTACAGTAGTACCCCGCTAAACACGGTCAATTGAACCCACAGGGTACCGTGTTAAGTGAAAACCGCGTTAAGTGAACAACAGAACATATGGGATTAATTCCAATAGAGACTGGCCCGACCCCCAAACTCTACTTTTTCGGACACAATATCTATGTTCTAGTAAAAATAACATCTTAATTTTATGATGGTACATGCACACAATTAACACTTAAGAGAAATAGAGAAATACAGTCGCCAAGTTAATGTCCATTAAAATAATGGACTCAACTCCTTCCCCCTCTTCTCACACTACAGTGCTGGCTCTTCCCTCTCTGAGAAATTTTGGGGGGAAAACCACTAGATTTTAATAAATAATACCTCAAACTAAAGTTAGGATAATATAATTGACATTGCTGGATTCCTTGTAAGACCAGGAATATTTTGAATATAAATGTCATATATTTTGCACAAAAGATAACATATTTACTCAGAGTAAACATTATATCTAAAATTTGTATGTCTAATGCAAAATCTATGATGTTTATATTCAAAATGATCATCAAATTGTAAGAATTCCAGCAATGTAAATTATATTCTGGCCGGGTAATTTGTATGAATTTTATGAGCTAAAACAAATATCTTCAGTTAATAAAAAAAAAATATTCTTCACGACACTATCTGTCAATCAAAGTACCCCACCTTGCCTCCCCCCCTCTTCCAACCGCGCCAGATGGTCGGTCCGTCCCAACCCTCCCCCCCACCCCCCACCAACCATCCCTACAAGAGAAATGTAGGGTGAAAAAACGAAATTTTAACATTTAGTAATAAATAATACCTCAGATTAAAGTTAGGATAATATAATTGACATTGCTGAATTCCTTGTAAGACCAGGAATATTTTGAATATTAATGTCATATATTTTGCACAAAAGATAACATATTTACTCAGAGTAAACATTATATCTAAAATTTGTATGTCTAATGCAAAATCTATGATGTTTATATTCAAAATGATCATCATATTGCAAGAATTCCAGCAATGTAAATTATATTCTGGCCGGGTAATTTGTATGAATTTTATGAGCTAAATAAAAAAAATAAAAATTATACTTCACCGCGTATATGGGTAAATGAACCGCGTTAAGTGAAAGTTCGGTTCTGGCAAGGCACTGCGTATAAGCGAAATCGCATTAAGTGAAACCGCGTTAAGCGGGGTAATACTGTAGTACCCCGATTTACGCGGTCAATTGAACCCACAGGGTACCGCGGAAAGTGAATTCCGCGTAAAGTGAACAACAGAACATATGGGATTAATTCCAATAGAGACTGGCCCGACCCCCAAACTCCACTTTTTGACGACACACAACTATGTTGTAGTAAAAATTTTATCTTAACTTTATGATGGTATGCACAAACAAGTAATATAGAAGAGGTTAGGTTAGGAAAAATAAAGGTTAAGTTAGGTAAAATAAAGGTTAGGTTAGGAAAACTAAAAGTTAGGTGTAACACTTACGTTAGTAGAAGAGATGGGTCGGCATACGGGGATGGAGGCTGGTTCCGAGGCAGAGGGCAGATTACTGGCCCTCAGGTGAATCACCATTACTAGGTGCATCACCATCACTATCAGTTACAGTTGTCAGGGCTTCCCTGACAAATCCCTCAAAGTCACCTTCACTGTCACTATCACTGGCTCTGGCTGGCTGTGGTGGGTTGCGGGCGAAGAACTCGGTAATGCTTTTTTGACGGCTAGTGTTGATGTTGTCTTGATACACCTTGATGTACGGCTCCATAGCCTGCACCAGCCGGGTATGGAAGATTTCATAGCGGTCATTGTCGTTGGAAAGGAAGAGCTTCAATTTTACTGCACACTCGATGGCACCCTTAATATGACTATGCGTTAACTTGTGTTCTTCGGAGATTGACGCACCATCTTCCTCTTCACTGACGTGATCATCTTCCAACATCTCGTCGGCAGTCATTTCAGGATCTCTGATCACCTCCAGGATGTCTTCGTTGGTGGTCTCGGAGAAGCCTTCAGCTGTAATACTGTGCGCAGCTTCTCTTGCAAGGTCCAATGCCACTGTCACAGACTGAACCTCACCAGTCACAGGTTGACTCCTCCTCTCACCTGGTATGCCATGCAACACATGCCTCCATGCATGACGAATCGTAGCAATAGACAGCTGATCCCATGCCTCCACCAAGAAATCTACAGCTTGTTTGACGTTAAATTTCTTCCAAAACTGTTTGACGAGAACTTCTTGAGTCACCACCTCTTGTTCCTTGCCCTCGTCGCTTTTACTCTCGCTGTCGGTGTCACCCAGCTTACGCAATTCATCCTTGGTGTTGGTAGAGTCGTTCAGGAGCTTGAATTTCTTTGCTGAGTATGCAGCTTTAACATTGCAGATTAACTCCTGGTCCATGGGCTGGATTAATGACGTAGTGTTGGGAGGAAGGAAGACCACTTTTACGTTGGGGTGACGATCCATAAGTAGGGGCGAGTGTCCT